CACAAGATCAAATTCTTGGTGAGGGCACTTATACTGACCCACAGGCTCAAGCTCTTTACAAAGAACAAATCTTGTCCTCATGCCACAAAGCAGCCTTAAATGCTTTGGACAGGACTCAAGAACCAAGAAAATGAATTGAATCATATACCAGAATTAAACAGGGCCAGAGAGAACACTTTAGTGACTTTTTACAAAGATTAACTAAGGCTGTACAAATAGGAGTAACAGACCCAGAAGCTAGATGAGTACTTATTATATCTCTGACTTTTCAAAATGCCAGTTTAAAATGCAAAAAGATACTTGGGCCTTTAAAGATTAGATCACCAATGGATGAATGGATCCTACATACAATGAACATTGAGATATTTGACTGTAACCCTGATTCTTGAGTAGGAGAAGCAATTTTCAAAAGTATGAGGGGACATCAAAATGCCAAATGTTTTAATTGTGGTAGAATAGGACATCTGAGAAGGGATTTTACACAAGAAATTCCCAGAAATAATGTTTCCTCTGGTAATGACAAAAATAAAAGGTATCAACCTTCTGGATTATGTAGGAGGTGTGGCAAAGGCCAACATTGAACCAACGAATGCATAGCAACAAAAGACAGACAAGGCAACCCAATACTATCAGGAAACTTCTTGGGGGGCCTCTTGCAAGCCCCCAAGTCAAAAGTGGTCCAGTTATTCCTAGTCACTCTGGAGGACATATCTCACAAGGAAAATTAAAAAATCCAGTGCCTGCTGTAAAAAAAACATACTGTTCTGGGTGATGAAATAAACATGGAAGATGAATCAAAAATTCCAATAGTAAATAGGAAACATATTCTGACAGACTTCTATAAACGATCAAAGACCAAAGCTAAGAGTATGTATAAATGGCATTGTAATTGTGAATTTGATAGACATGGGTGCAGACATGGATATTATTACTCCAGAATCTTGGCATCCAAATTGGCATCTTCAAGAGGCAGATGTTCAATTCTTAGGAACATCAAGTGAAATAAAGCATAAGATGGGTTGAATGCATAGGGCCAGAAGGACACAGAGG